TCGGGCCGCTCCTACAATATCTGCTTGCAGCCGTCTTCTTGAAGGCGTGATCATCTGCCCTGCAAGACTAAATATCCGTTCTGGCTCAGAAGACATCGCAGAAATCGAGAAGAGGTCAACCGCCATTCGCGATAGGTTCGGATATTGTCGTCGCCGGAGAAGCCAGTATTGAACCGGGTTATCGACCAAGCCGTCACCGGGTTCCGGCGTAGACAACCACTCGGCATACTCATCTTGTGTAGATGGTACTGATGACGCACGCTGAGTGCTGGCCTTCCTGACAGATGCCGTAAATTCATCCAAGCCGGTTGTTTTTCTCGCGGCGGTGTGAGGTTCCAAGATTGCATCCTTCTCAGTGTGTGAGATAGTATACGAGACAGTATATGACCATATTGCGCACGTATCTCATCATGGCACGTGCACGATAATTGCACAGCAACACGATAATAACTCTAGCAATGCGATATTTGTTTACAAAGAAATTGCCTTTTTTGTACCCTATGATGTCAGAAAAATCAGTTGGTAATATATTGTTTCACACTATTGGACACACTGATCCTTCTCGAAGGGTAGTCCTCTATAGTCTTCCCAGAGTTCTCGAACAGCTTCTTTACCCCTATCCAACCATTCTGGATGATCAGCCCTTGAGATTCGATGGCGGGCCAACGAAAAGCAGGATGAAGAACAAGGGCCGCAAGGTAAACGGGGCTGTCATCAGCAAGTGCATAGTGCTTATCCAGCTTCATCCAGCCGAGGTTGCAACCCACTCGCAAGTAAGGCTCTTCATCGTGTTCATGCTGCATCTTGGACTCTTCCAATGCCTCAGAAGCCATTCCATCGTCAGCAGGACTTCCCAGACCGCCCCATGTTTGCCCTCTTCAGGTCTGCCTTCCAGCCGCTTCATGGCTATCTTCAGCGGCTTCAGGATGGCCAGGTATTCTGCAATCACGGCCCAGTCTTCGCTAGTCATCTTATCGTCAACAATTGCAGGCTTCTTCCGACTCCTCTTTGGCATCGGCCTTGTCCCATTCGCAGTCCTCGCGGCGACGTATTGACCCCACTCCGTAACCTCCGCCTGGACGAGAGAGTCGAGAGGATTCCGAAGCTGATAGCCACGCTCCATCATCGCCTCGGATGAGTTGCACCGGGTAGCATTGTCTGTGATCACATCGTAAGTTGCGTGGTCATCAAGGCCCAGATCCGCATTTTCGATGCTCTGAAGCCTGTGGAGTTTTTCAATGCGCTGGCCAGATCGCTGAACCCAGTGCACAATGTTATGCAGTTTGCCAATCGGCCCTTTGGCCCTCCACAGCTTCACCTCTTCTTGAAGTTCCTTATCAGCTTGGCAATCTTCCTCGAAAGCGTCGGCATCCGTCCCAAACAATATAGATTGGGCCACAAGGTTAATGATGTGCCCGCAGCACCGAAGTCGGCGGTGCTGCTTCTTGAACCCAAGCTCACCAGCGAGCTCATCAAGACAAGTGTCGTTGCTCTCTGCGTTGTCTGTGATAAAGTATTCAACGCGGCTGTTGAGATTATATTCGTGGATAATTTCACTAACCCGGTCTGCAAGGTTTTCGCCACTATGTTGACCCTCAATTCGTGGCAAGCCAAGCAAGAATGTGCGCAACTTGCCTCCGTCGTCGAGAAAGTACACGGTCAGGTCGAGAAGGGAAGTGAATTTGCGGGACGTCCACACGTCAAATGATATATTAATGCGGCTGAGAGAGCGACCGAGCAGCTCAGTAACTACACCTTTGTGACGATTGAAGGCTCCTACAGTCCAATCGCGCATCGTGTTATGGGTTGGCAGACTGCCTGACTCAATAACAGCACTGTTTGTGTATTCCATAAGCTCGCGAAAGTATGGACTCTCTAGCTTGTTGAAAGAGACATTGTCGCAGGCCACCCAGCGAATAAGCAACTGTCGAAAGTGTAGCGGGTCGAAGGAGGCTATAAGAGCATTTATCACAGCCTGGTCCTTCCTGTGACGAGCGGCCAAGTTAACCATGTCCAAGATGGTGCGCTGTTTTTCCTAAAGGGTGACATTTGCCCGCATCTGCTGATGCGATGGACATCTTCCATGTGAGCGTTCGCTTGGCTCGTAGACGCAGCATCGTACATGTGAGTGATTGCGGCTCTTGTCCGATGGCACTCTTTGCAAAGCCAGAAACGGCGGCCGGAATTGTTTCTCTCGACATCGTATCCGTGCTCCCAGACCCATCCCGTCCGCTGCCTTCGTCTGTGCCTGCTAGCTACATACCCAGGAAGACGATTCCAATCAACGCCTTCGTAGCCAGAGTGTGCAGCTGAGGAAGTGGTGTCGGCGGTCGCCTCTCTGTTAATATCGAATCCGGAAAGGTCGGTTGCAGCATCGAGATCGCTGTAGGCGGTAGAATGGGGTTCTGGATCACTGGCATCCATAGAAGCCATTGTCGGGAGGGACTCTAAGGGACCGCCGCTAGGCAGCACACGGTGTCGACTGGCTAATGTCAATCCAAATAAATATATCTGTTCGATTTGATTTGATTACAAATCAATTTGGTCGATTCGGATTTGAATCGATTTGGATAGATTTGAATTCATTTGAATTCATTTGATTTGGATTCATTTGTTGACAAGTCTGGACACGGCCAAAAAGGTTGAGCCAAACAAAGCTAACGGAAGGGATGTCAAAGGCTGGAATCCATGCTCGCGACGCTACGTCAATGCAGAGATGGAGAAAGAGTTCAGCTACGCCCGCGCGTTCCTCCTGCGAACAATGACGCAGCCTCGGTTACTGAAGACGGCATCCACGAGAAGATCGGCTGCATGGAAAGTGACATGCGCAAAATAGAAGAGGATCTGGCTAGCCTCATTGACGTGAGGGAAGTAGGTCCCAAGATCGTCCTCATGGAAAATGATCTGGACAGAATGAAGGAGCTAGTTAGCCTCAGCAACGTGAGGGAAACCGCCTAGAAGATCGGCCGCATGGAAAGTGACCTAGAAGGGATGAAAAGGGAGCTGGCTGGCCTCAGAAGCGAGCGGACGTCCCTGGTTGGACTCCAGGAGCAGCTACAGATGCTTCTGAGTGCATACATGATTCCTAGCCAGCCCCCTTCCCAGATGTATCTTTCCTCACAGCCACCTCCCTACAACTAGGTGCTCGGGCAAACATCTTCTGCTGCTCACTATAGGTCGAACAAGAAGGGCTTTATAGAAAGTAGCTCAATTCTACAGTGACTTCTCAGGCATTCTACACACGTCCCATGCTCTTCGAAGTGATGTCTGGCCTCATGCCCACTAAGCCAGCCGAATGAAGACACAACGGCCGCAGCCGCTACCTTTGTTACCAGCACCTCAGGTCGCTCTCACAACTCTTGATTTGCTGCCAGTCTTTCAATGACCAGCAGCTCGCACACGGCACGACGGGCCTTGTGGTAATGCTCGCACACTCGCGACGTCTATGTAGCCGTCTATGTTTCCCGGCAAAGCCTGTATTTGATGCGCTGCCCGAGCATACTCTGCACTCAACACCTGCCTAAGGTGGCCCTGCGGAGGTGGTAGTAGAAGGCTTTTAGCCCGTTCAGGGACCGCTGCCACAATGGCCAGTTTGGTCATGCACACGAGCGGCGAAACGCTGTGCTTTCGTCGGGTTTTCTCTAGTACTGTTTCGGCGGCGGCGCGGCGCGGAAGAAGAAGATTTTTTCGTCCGTGCATCACTTCGGCGCGAACAGCGCTCCGCGCTGAACACTAGCACACAAAGCCTATCGCAGTCGGGGTCGAAATTCATGGCACGATCGTGTTCGGCAATATCGCAGCGTGGATAGCTGCGAGCCGTGGCATGACTGATGTGATTGTCAAGGCATTTCGTTTAGTTTTCAAAATAAAACCATTCCTTAGGCGACAGTGATGCTGCGCTGCACTGGGGTGTGGGTAGCCCTCCACCTAGGAAATACTACCGCTACAAGGGACAATAGGTCACGTTAGGTGTGAGTGTGTCGAATTCATCAGCCCATCTTCCTGGTCGAGCCAGCACGAAACCATGAACTTTGGAATCATCGAATTATGCGTTCCCACTTCTAATTCAGCTGCCGGACCCGCTCATTAACAGACACGGCAGACGAACGAGGAGCTAATGAGGTTTTCCTCGGCACTCAAAGCGCTAGTTTTTCATTGGCTCGCTAATCGAGGTACTATATAGGTTGATCATGCTTATTAACATGCTTTTAAGCAACATATAGTAATAGTAAAGCCATCATTAATGCAAATAACGCTGTAGCTTCTGAGAAAGCAAATCCTAAAATAGAGTAAGAGAATAATTGATTTTTTAATGAAGTGGAAAATAGATTTGACCTCTTCCTGGGTTAATTTGGCTTGTTACTATATTATGTATTGTTACATATAAAGATTCTTGAGCCCAGCCAAGTTATTGCATACTAATAATAATACACTGCCTCGTCAGGCCACTTCTGCGAGCGAGGTAATTGCTAGGCAAGGTCTATTCTTCGGTATAGCCGCTCCAAGACTTATTTCAGAGGCATTGAGCTGCAATCTTCAAGAATTAGCATCCGCGCTCGGTGTGGATGAATACGAGCCTCGTCATCTGATCTCCGGCCATCCGGTGTGGTGAAGCCGTGAAGGCACTGACTGCGGAGTCCCGCCGATCCTCTTCTTCCGGAACAACATGATTTGCAGGGGAAAATTGAATGGGCTGCCTGCTTGGCTGCGTAGCTGTGCAATTTACGGGTATCAGGGTTGGCGTGCAGTCTCCACCGTGAGCGTGGAGTTTTCGCGTGGTTCTCCGCAAGGCATCCTGACGGAAAAAAATCAATAGCTGCGCTCGGTTTCTCCATACCCTTGGTCTCTTCAGGGTTGCCTATACTGCCTGCGCTGTTGGCTCTGGGCTCAGAAAATACCAGCCAACTACCAGCCGGTAATGAGGGAACACGGTATTCTAATTCGAACATCAAGTGCTCCAACCTCTTTCCACTCTTCTCTGCAAGTGTCACCGCAATTTAGCGTCTAATATAGATGGGAGAGGGCATCCCGCCCATCCCGGCGACCAGCCGTGCCAGCTAACACGCAGCAGTAGTTCCATGACGCTTCGAATTGCGCCGCCCGATCCACTCGATGCCAAGGGAAGAACTAAGAGCACAGCTGTTGCGCGGCAATATTCGAGCACAGCAAGTCTTGCGAGAGATGTATTACCATCTGACAGCACTTTTGCAGATGCTGCCCTAGTATGCGTACAATTGTGTCCCATTCCATTGCCATCTGTCTGGGTTTGGGGAGTACCAGCGCCTGTTAACTGTAAGCGGGTGTGACTGGACCCAAGGTCAAGTCACTGCCACGCTGCCAAGGTTGCTTGGCTCAAATGGAAATTAAACTATAGCAACAGAGTACTATTGAGCACCACAAAAGGCCCGTTTTGTATCCGGTTCCACGTTCTAGGCAACTGATCCTTTTATTCAAGCTCCTCAATGTGGAAAAGGCATCTGTGAATGTGCTAGGAACGTGCCCCCTTACCGAGAGCGTCAAAAGCATATATAGGCGGCACTGCACTGCGTCGCTAACTTTGTACCACCTATCAAGGAGTGTATGCTGTGAAAAGTCTACATCGCGATCATCATCATGCCGTCACTCGTCTCTTGCCTTGTGGCAGGGCTCGCCGTTGCCGACCGCGCGGCGAGTCTAAGCTATACCTTGTCCAAGACCTACGATGCCTCCAACTTTCTCGACGAGTTTGACTTTCATACGGTACGTGAGCTACAGGCTTAGGTCAAACGGTCCCATATTCCGAAGCTAACCACACATCCCAAGGCCGATACAAATCCGTGGGCGTCAAATGACTATTTCGCTTTCACGACGTACCTGAATAAAGCGGATGCCGTTAGCAAGGGGCTTGTTTCTGTACAGGACGGCAAAATATATTTGGGAGTGGATTACAATACACGGACCTACGGCGCGGGGTATCGAAATTCGTTACGCGTCCAATCCAAGAATTCGTTCAAGCAAGGCTTGGTCATCACCAGGTTTAGCCATTTGCCCAAGCCTGTCTGCGGTGGCTGGCCATTCTTGTAAGAAGAGCACCGCACTATCATGGCAGAATTTCTGACTGATCGGAGTCAGCGGGACTCTCGGAACCGGGCGACACCCTGAGAACAGTGAGATTGGCATGTACGAAGGCTGGCATCTTTCCCCTGTGAACAAGGTGGCACTTTACGGTGGGCCTGAAAGCACCGGCCAATGCGTCCTGGACCAATCTGCTCACACAGCTGGACTTGTCTCAAGCAACTGCGACCATGAGTTCCAATATGGCTATGACCGATGGAAATACCAGAGTTGCCTGCCTGAAGAGACCCAAAACGGAATTTGGGGATCTTCTAAGGGTGGTATCCGTAAGTTCACCAGCTATAGGACTACTAATTCCCGGCTCCTAACAATGCATTTCCACATGTAGAGGCTCTTGAATGGACAAGCGACGCTATCAGGTTGTACAATTGGCCGATTGGCGCGGCTCCGAGTAACATCGGATCCTCGAACCCTGATACTTCTTCTTGGGGTACGCCGTCCGCGCAGTTCAAAGGGCCCGGTTGTGATACACAGGCATTTTCAAACCAGACGCTCCAGTTCAGGTTCCTTTTCTGCAGCAGTGTTAATGCAGCAAGTTCAGCCTGGTCGAATCTACCTGCAGACGGTAAGAACGGACCGACCTGCAAAGAAATCACTGGTGCGGCGCAGTGCATCGTTTACGTTGGCCCAAACCCACAAGAATTTAAAGACTTTTACTTCGGAGTCGAGGATATCCGCATCTTTGACCAAGACACCCAGAGCCAACTCTCACTAGACGGCAGCAGCCCGTCGTTTACCTTTGACTACGCGACAAGCCAGTCGTCGAGCGACAACTGGATCGGAATCTGGCCCGAAGACGACACACAAGCGCCGCAATCGGGCAGCGTCGCTTGGGAGTACGTCACACAAAGCTCGGGCTCTATTCGTGTTACACCTCGCAGTTCCATGAAAGCTGGTAAGTACAAGGCGTATCTTTTGTCCAACGACCGAACCATCCTCTCTTCTCTCCCAAGCTTCGATTACAGCCCAACCTCGGACAGTGTGGCTTTCAGCGTCAAGACCCACTACAACACCAACTGCGCTGGTAGTGCCAACAACAACGTCGACATCAAGCCAGGGAATGGAGTCTGTGTCAACACGAACTGCGGTGTCGGCAGCCTCGAAATTCCAAGCGTCGGAAGCTGCCCGAACGGTCAAGTTCGAATCAGCTACTGGCAGCATGCCGATTGCGCGGGCGACTGGTACGGTTACGGCTACGGAAGCAGAGATACCTGCCGCGGACTGTGGTCCAACGGCTGGGGCTTCAGGTCCTTGTGGCTGTCGTGCGCCGAACCCGACAGCGACTGCATCAAGCAGGAAACCTGCACCGCCGCCCCAGAGCCGTCCACGGAGGTCTGCCGTGCCACGGCGGACGCTGGCACGACAGACGCCTTCCATCTCAAGACCCGGTACAGCACAGGCTGCACTGGAGACGTCCACAACGAGGTCACCGTCCCGCACGGAAACGGCCAGTGCATCGATACAAACTGCGCCGTGGGAAGCCTGGATATCGACAATGTCGGAAACTGCCCCAATGGAGAGCTGCGAATCAGCTACTGGGAGCAGTCTGGCTGCTCAGGCAAGTGGTTCGGATACGGCTACGGCAGTAGGAATACCTGCCGAAAGCTGTGGTCTGGTGGCTCGAGCTTCAAGTCTCTTTGGGTGAGCTGTGCAAAGCAGAGCGATGACTGTGTCAGTCGGGGAACTTGCTCCATTGACGAAGTGCCAAGTCGCCCTGTCTGCTGATACACCAGACCTACAAAGTTGGAATAAGTTCGAGTGAGGCTTTCACTTTGCCATGGTCAGCGTGTCTAGCAATATGGTATTATCATATATGATGAAACCGTTGGAGGCCATGCCATAGCAGCCATACATAGCATAGACAGATCCCTCGTATATCGCATGAGAAATATATTATGACCACAATATATGGTGAATCGGTGATACACACGACCGCATCAAGGCTATCATCCGTAAAAGGTGCTTTGCTGCTTTTGCCAAGCCATGACTTGAGGCATTCGGTCGCTTCCATGCTCTCAATGCCTAAACGGCTCCTACGGTCTGTGAAGGTGGTCTTCGTGCCTGAAAACAGGCGTCAATACGTCTAATGCCATAACAGATAGGGCTGGGTAAGATTTCCTTTGGTGACTTCTGGTACTATAGGAGCAAGGAGGTACTTTGTGTAATCGTCCGGATCAAGGCTGATCCTCTTGTTCCGCTGCGCGGCTGCGCCCATCTATGAAACGTGTTCTTGGCCTCGTTAGCCATTTCTGACGTCTGAGTTGGGACTGTAAGCCTTGGGCCATGGCGAAACTTTGCAGTGGTGCAATGATCGCACTGCTGTGTGTAAAAGGAGGGCGCACAACAGTTAGTCAGCAGGGCGCCTCTGTATTGGCCGCCTGGCCGCTTCGCACCGCCGGTGGTGCACCTATTGGCCCCCCGGTGTGTAAGCGCTTTCTCCCACTACAGAGTCCTGTCACCACTAGGCAATGAGGGCGTGGGCAAGTATGAGTAGCAACTACAGCGCCCTCCGAGTATGCCCCTATTTCTATCCTCCGCAAAGCGCCGGAAAGAAGTTTATGGGAAAAATGAAGGAGAAGGCGATTAATGGTTGAGTGTACACACTAGGCTGTAACTGTACAGCTGTTGATGGCCAACTTCTAGGGGACGGCAAACTATGTTCTAAACTTCTTTCTAGCTGGGTTGTTGTCTATAGTCATTGATTGCCTATCTGGTCGCACAGCTGTCGAGATATCCTATTCAAGAACCGCACCCGTCGTCTCCAGCAACTGAGGGAACCATCTCTTGGCCCTGTCCTTGAATACTTCGTATCCAGCACCCGCCCGCAGGACGCGCATGTTTTCGACATCAAAGTTGCTGCCACCGCAACCATACGTGTGTCATTTTTGCAAGCCGTAATCGACCACCAAATCGACGGGATCAAGCACGGATGGCTCGATGTCCTCGATACGAAACCGCTGCCCTTGTCCAGTGGCATTCGCAGAGGTCCCAAACATCAGCATGCCGTCCGGGTCGGCATCACAGAGCCTACCAAGCTCCCGCAAAAAACGCCCCTCCGGTATTGCGATGCTGACCGTGTCTCCTTTTGTGACTTGGAGGAGTGTGGCCTTATCCAGTGCTGCCAGTCGCGGGTGAAGGTTAACGACATCAAATTTGGCAATAATTCCAACGATCATGCCCATATCTTCCGTCAAGGCCCGGGTAAACTCAAACTTGATGTCTGGCAGCACGTGAATCTCTCGGTGCTGCTGATACGTCCCGATGATGCCGATATTGTGGCTCTTTTCGCGGCCTTTGGCCGTAAAGATCTTCTGAACCCCTGTTTGCGTGCTGGCCAGGAGCGCATAGCCCACGTCGGTGGGGATAACGACAGCTCCGCCTGCTTTGAGTGTTTGAAAAGCTTGTCGGGCATCGCGAGAAATAGCTGGCACGCTGCCTGCTTCGGGACAATATGAGTAGCCATGATTCGGATGCTGTGAATGCAAATACCAGTCGAGAGAAAAGTGGGATAGGTTTTGCGTCAACAAATCTCGGAAAGTTACTGGCATTAATGGACAAGATGGCTGTCTAAGTACGTGAAAATAGTGTGAGGTGGGGTAATAATGGCGACTTAAATTAAACTTGTCGGAACTCCGATCAAATTTGGCACAGCAGTTCCGCTCGACGTCTTCACCCCGAGACAATCCTTGATAAGGATAGAGAAATTGGTCGGAAAAATATTCATCCGTCGCTCAACTCCGATCGCCGCGGAGAGAGAGGTCGTGCTACCGCGGTTCGAAGCCCGGAATTCCGCTGTCAAGTCCGGAGCGGCAAACTCGTCAGGGTCCCTGGCCTACGACTATACAATGCCACTGTCGCTCTCGCAGAGCTTGCCGTATCAAAACGGTTATAGAACTTTTGGTTATGGAGAGCCTCAACATTCTACTTCGTGACAGCCTCCATGCACTATATTCAAGAAGATGAGGAAGGTGTTCCTATCCCATTGTTCTGTACGCAACACATCACATGTTGTCCCATCTTCTAGCGACAGTAACCCTTGGCTGTGCCGTGGTAGGCACTGCTTAAGCGTCGACGGACTTGACCTGATGCCAGTCTCAGATGGCTATTGGATATGCGAAACCAAGCCGTATTTTGTTCGTCATCTTTCTCTGGTTTCAACGGGCTCAGAGAATGTTGCTCGTTCGATCCGTCTGTATTGATTGATGGGGTGGCATAATCTTTGGCGAAATCTGCTTGGTCCTCGTTGTATGCTAGGGTGAGCCCCTAAAAAGCATCGACGCTTTCTCCAAGTCGTGACGAGGACGGTCCTCTTTCATGAATAATTGCACTGTCTGATGGCACGGTATCTGGCTTTTGATTCTGGGGCAATCCACGTCGACGCATTCATCGCCTCTCCGCCGCATTTGTCATTTTCTTCCCCTTAAAGGGGCCAAGAACAATACCCGCCAGCAGTTCTTGATCGTTCGGGTCCTGGATGACTACGATCAAGTCACCGATGGGATCGAGAACTGTCATACTCGTATGCATCTTGAAACTAGGGTTGTAGGTAGTTGTAAGCTTCCAAAAGTAGCAACTGTCTTGTGAGAGAATAATAATTACTAGGCATGTGTAGGGATGGCCGACCTCACGCGTGAGCTGTGTGCGGGGAAACAAGCCATTGGGCTTGACCTACGTCGCGAGCCCGCCAAACCCTTCATTGCAATGTCTCACCGAAAATGGAGCCGCTCAAGGGCACAGCAGTAGGACAGGACGTTTCGCCGGTCCTACTGCTGAGTGGGCGGGTTCCATCGCTCCCTATTGGCTGATACCGCCGCAATCGGATCATGAAACTCATAGATTTTATAGATATTGTGGGTTACCGAGACCACTCATTTTGTTTTGCTTGTACGGAATGTATTATGGCGTATGTGGATTGTATTTCGTGCTGCTTCGATACTTTATTCATAGGTGGTGCAAATGGGAAAATCCACCTCGCGAGGTTCAGTTATGACGAACACAGATTTTCGGACTCGTTACCGACTGCCAAACATCCTGAGAGAATTTCGCCTTCAGCAATTGGCAGAGCGGGCTTCGTATGTGGTTTCAACTGGTGTGACGGCTGGGCCCATGCTGTCAATCCCTCACAAAAACCTTTCTCAATCGGCCGTTGCCACCAGCTCGTGGCTCTGCTGACCTTCACCCGGATCGTAGCTCTCAACTTGCCGGCGCATAGTCTATAAAATCATCGTCAGTTGTATTTAGATCCCCCCGATCTCGGGCGATCTTACCATGCTGCGCAAGGCGACCCGAAGAAGAGAAACTTGTAGTTGTGTGAAGGCGAGGTAGAGTCCGATGAGTCCGATCGCAAGGGAAACAGTGCCGAAAACCACGGCTGCGATTGTTGAGGCATCCATTTCCAGAGCTCTGCTTTACATTTTTGAACACCCGGTGAGTTTTTTGAGGCATCCAACACATGAGCCAGTTACCGACATGCCAGGACGTATTTTTTAACGTAGATCTCAAAAGAGCTGATGCTGCATCTTTAGTTCTCACCGACGGAAGGCATTCGGAGTTTGATATGGACGACTGCATCGCAATTGCACCGCCTGCACGGTTCCGAGATTGAGGCGCTCGTTTCTTCAAGCCTTGCACCTCACCGACTTGAGTTTGCTGCACACAGCCGCGTCTTGCACAGCATCCGCTGTACAAAAGCAAAAGCTTGAAGGTGGTGGAAACTGAAAGAACCCTTGGTTCTGCTGACGGGCCGGAAAAGCATTCAACGGAAAGGGATATGGTGTGAGCTTCCTGTTGCCCTCGCATGCATAAGTGCAAACTCATTGTACCGAGGTCCACGCGTCAGGAACTTTCACGGGCGCTGACTTGCCGCCAACGCCGCGTTCCTTCTTCAGTTTCGTCCTTTCTATGCGACAGATGGATGTCTCAGCTAGGAGGAAGGTTCAGGCACATGTCGGTAGGGTCTTTCGCAAGCCGGTCAGCGGCTCTGCTGCCCGGGATCGTGACGTGTCTCCCGTCACATAGAGTAGAACAGCCGTAAGATGACTGCCATCGGTGGCGCTGGTCCGCTCCTTACGATTGCGCGCCACCATTTCTTAAGTATTCACTACCTACATCTCGTTTATTCGCCCTTTCTGATTTACGAGGCGGCGATGTCGACATGAACTGTAAACTAGTTTTGATCTAGAGAGTGGCTGTTCGCCGTCTATTGACGCCTCACCGGTGACAAAAAAGTACGTCAATCTGGCGCAACCCCTCTAACCGAATACTGCGCTTGCCCGGGATGCGAAGTCAAGACCGTGGAGATAGAGCGAGCTGCTCGCGAATTTGCTGCTATAATCCCGGAGCATGAATTCAGCGTGGCGCAGATCATGTCCTATATCCAACGAAACTGGGTCTCGCCAGCCGTCGCACTGAGGAACAGCAGGAAATGGGTCACGCAAGCTTTGAAGGAGAAAGAGGACCATTGTAGGGAAAGCAGTTCTGCAGGGGCGGTCGGCTCAGTGTCATCTACCGCTCGCGAGGCTGCAGAAGAAGGTGAGTTAAAGTGGCTGTAAGTTCCAGCTGCTTAATGAGCCTGAGAGCGAAGAGGAAGGTGACGAGGCTGGTGAGGCGGGTGTGTAGGTCGATTGAGGTGAATGATGGTGGTAATGGTGTAATGGGTGTCCACCAAAGGTGGACGCTGCTATTCTGCTGCTGCTCAGCACCTCTTTCAGAATTGTAATTTCAATTGTCGAAATCCGTTACACTGTGAGGCTGAGGTAAATGGTTCAAAGTACTGTGGGTTCTGTCTTAGACCCCAGATGCCCCTAACTGTGCCTTTCTGGGTTTTGCAACAGTGACCTCTATAGGCTGCTGTGGTTATGACTTCTGCCGCCCACAACACAGTCAATTTCTGATGCTTTAGAAAGTAACTCGTGCATACAAATCGCTGATTCAGGGCAGTCAATTGAGTTTTAATGGAATCTGATTAATGGATGCAACTAACAGTAAATCGGTGCTGCAGAACTCGCCTGCAGTTTTGGCTGCGGCCCAATTGGCAGACTTCATCTCGCAAAGCGGCAAAAGCCATAAATGTCAAAATGAAAAGGGTAATTCTAACGGTGCACCGTAAAGCATGCCAGTCTGACATTGTCATCACAGTGTCACCTTTGCCTACTATAAAGCCTATGGAAATATCATATCTACGGGACGGCAGATCCGCAACGCAGTACCCAAAAGCCTGCGGGCGCTATGCACGGTGCGCACGCGAGGGCGCTGTTGGTGTCCTGCAACTTACGCTCGAGATAAACGATGCTAGCGGAAATTATGTCCCACTGAGGAGGCTGGAACGCCAGCAAGCCCGCTTGGTCCCAGCAAGTCTGGACCGCCACCAGACTCTGCCTTCCCTCTTTGTCAAAAGAACGAAGATGGGGGCTGCCATCAAGGAGCTGTAGCGCCTCGTTCACAGCCGCTCTGTCTTCTGGGATGTAACCCGCTCCCATCTGCAGCAACTCGAGCCACACCGGCGGCATATCGTGATGAATGAGTATTTCAGAACCGTCTTCTTCCTGTTCTGCAATAATATAGGCAGACATGTGACTCAGGTAGAGAGAGGCGAGCTCACTCGTTTCTGTTTGGTTTGTATTTGGGCCGAATGCGCCCTTTTCGATGAATCCTTCAACCACGGCCTGGTCAGAGTCTTCGATATCGTGGTTGTTGAGCGTTCGAGCACGAGCCACCTCTCCCATTAGAACTAGCCCTGCGTTGGCATCGACCATGTTCTCCAAGATCTCAGCAAACTTGTTACAGGACTTCAGTAGCTCGGTTTTCCTGTTCTCATCTGAGGGGTGGTCCTCAGCCGTCTCGCATAGTTCTCCAACTTGGTTGAGACCATCAATTGCCTGCTGCTGCTGCTGCTGCTCCTCCGGAGGCGCGTTTTTACGGCGCTGGCACGCCTCGTCAACGGCGTCCGGGTATCTTGGGTTATCGCTCCTGAAGAGACAAACTAGCCATAGCTTTAGCTCGTTGCCATTGATCTCGGGTACGTTCTTTCCTCCAATAGATTCTTGGAGGCCTGCCATCGCCCCATCAAACCACGCTACGGCCTCGCCAACTGGGTTGTCCCAGTTCTTGACCGCTGCCAGGATATCATGAGCATAAGGCGAAAGGGTCGTAAACGCCACCATGACTCCGCCTCGTCCGTTGAGGTGGAGCTTCGGGTACTTGGTCGTTTTTTTGGTCATGGTTGTGCCCGCTGGGCAGCGAATGTCACGCTTCTTTATGCATGACTTGCGACGCGAGTAGATTCGCCCTTGCTTCTTGCGCGGCCCGAGAGGGTTGCCTGGTGTTCCAGGCACGCCGACCTGCTTCGGGGGACGGGGCCGATTTAGCTCAGACATACCACCAGGCATGTTGCGCAATGGAGCGTTAGGGTTTCCGCTGAGAGCGTTGACGCTGCCCGCCAAGCCCCAGGTCTGTAACCCATTTTGGACCAGATCGAGAAGCTCGCGGGCTGATTTTGAGCCAGGCTCCGGAGGCCGCCGGGCTTGCATGGTGGCCGAATCTGCAATGGTTGTCCCAACCACGATAAGGAGAGTAAACAAGGCAATTTTCATGTTGAGCAAGTGCTGAACGAGAAACCAAATTCGGTTAAGAGAAGTAAAACTTTTGAATAGAGTGTAGTTGGCAGTCTATCAAGCTGAGTAAGTTGTCGTAAGGATACAGATAAGGTGTACTATTAGATCTAAATATACTTTCATAGTGACGCTCCTTTGTGCGGGGGGGTTAAAATGAAGCCTAAAGATTTATCTAATATAATATTGCCACTTTTCGGCATTACTCGTTGTAAACTAAAGCCGATACTTTCGGGTGTCGCTCTTACAATATCAACCTCTGTAAGTGAAAGCTCAGTCGAAGTGATATAGCGCACCTTTTGGCAGCTATAGCCCGTGCACCGTTTAAGATCACCGAAATACTAGCTCTGACAGTGTACTGCTATTAGCACGATTTTACGAAGACTAGTTACTGCATGGGACGCTCGGGCTGCATCTGCCAGGATGAAGCCCACCCGCTGCCCATGCAGTAATTAGCCGTTCGTAGCACCTATATAGCGGCTAGTTATATTATATTACATTGTCAGGAGCCCTATATATTGCCAGTATGACCACATGTCCAATATACGACACGTGGCTCTCTTGAAGGATCCGTCATCAAGTAACCGCTGCAACAACATTTCGCTCTTGAGGTCCTAAATCCTTAGCCACGAATTTGAGCACTCTAGTGTTTCTCATGGTAACACTGCCCAGCTGGTTACGACGAGCTATAACCGTCAACTTCGCACCAGAGTATAGCCTTTCAGGCCCGGCAGATATAGCAGGGATAGACAGACTTTTATAGATTGGTTGATTGACTGATGATCTAGGTCTGTTTGCGTCCGGTCCTAGGCTTTTAGACGTACTATCGAGCTTTCTACTTGGTGAGATAGGTAAGTTCAACATCCTGACTTGTACTCTTATTAGAAGCAATTCCTAATGAAAGGCACTAACGGAGAGGAAAGTCACTAACCATAACTAGTCACCACGCAGGCAATGATTGCGCAAAGTAATACAATGGGTCGAGAAGAAAAGTGGAATGAAATTGACACCAACGAGTACAAGAACCTAACCGCGGAAAACCCGGAAGTCCAATATAACTAACGGTAACCTCCGTCTATCTGGACCCGTTTCGATACGCCGTGAATATAGGCTCCGCCACAGATACCTGGCGGATGGAGAACCCATCCGTCACCATCCGTAAATCCAAAATAGCCGCCACTATTGTTGCCCACGCCCGGCTACCGGCATTAGCCCTGTCATCGCAAGTGATAACCTACCCCAATTGCTCGAAACTGCCATCGCCATGCGCGCTAAGCCTCTCCGGCAACAAGACCAGTATAGTCCGCCCGTCCCGCCTATCTTCTCGTCACCTAACGTAGCCTTTAGCATCACTTTAATCGCCCATTACAGCATCTTCTCCCGCTTCATCTACTTTTACGCTAGCGCTGAATACCACGCTTTTCTCAAGTCCGATGCAGACTGTTAAGCCTTGGCTGTTCCAAAACTTATACTCTTCTTGACGCATCTACAACCATCCGCCTCCGTCGCCTGCAGGGTGAGGAATCAATCCACCCACGTCCACGAGTACCTTCTGTGGATGGAATTGACGAGTTAGTCAGCAGGGTTACCATGGATTGAATCCACGAACCCTCACCGTGGATTGGTGGCCACAATATTGAAGTCGCTGACAATCCTCGCCGTACCCGCCTAATACTCCTGATGAGGTAATTTATGGGACCATTGCCAAGCCTGACTTTTTGCCTGACCCCCCTACTCTCGAGGGGAGCTTCATTTTCGCGGCGCCAGACAGCTACATCAATCCATCCATATCGTCCATCAATATGGCCTCGACGGTGGATTGATTGATTATGTAATAAATTAAGCCATGGATTGATGTGGACGCCAAGACATGTCAATATGTTGATCAATTAGTGGATTTCGTGGATTGATTCCTCACCCTGGTCGCCTGGTCTTAGTTAAGATAATACCCACGGCAACTTATATCCGATGATGACGACGACAATGGCTCCACGGGGTTTTAACTCCTGCTATATACTTTTGCGGATTGACGCTGCTTTGTATTGAGCGGTTTAACTGAAGCCTGAACATTTATTTAATGAGTAGTGCTATTTACACAATAGCTTTTTGCTTAACACACGACCTTGGTACTTAGAATTTGTTGGCTAACACATTATCAAAGTGCTTCTTTAGTATTTTTTTCATCAAATCCTATTTATTATTCAAATATTATTCAGAACTTTCTCTTTTGAAAAAGAATTGAATGTTTAAGACCAGAATAACCTTCTCGTATTTAGTGGAGCTACCTTTGAATTCTAAGTACTAAGGTCGTGCGTTGAGCAGAAAACTCTCGTGCAAATAGCACTACTCTATTCAATACAACGCTGCCACTTTTTCGGTATTACTCGTCGCAATGTGAAGCCGGCAATTTCGGGTTTCGCTCTTGAATCGTTAATCATTGCAAGTTGAAGCTCGGTCGTAGTAGTATCGCGCACCTCTTGGCAGCACTTGCCAGAATACACACCTTATGCATCTTACCCAGTGACTCTTGTAAACCATACCTGGGCACATGGTTGAATATGGTTATTTTGGGGAGCCGTACCATAACCACGAATAACCATCAAACTCAGAACCATAACTGATTATAACCACATAACCATATTATAACCATGACTGGCAAGGTGGTATCATGTGATCTAAACCCACTCAATTGCATCTAATATCTGACCATCTATATCGTCATCTTCATCCATCACCGAGGCCTCCATGGGAAGGCCCATGCCACTCAGTTTGGAAGGTTTAATATGACCTTCTCGTATCCAACTGCCAATACATTCAATTCTCTGGATATTGTGGCAAGACAAGCTAAGCCTGTCCCATGAACAAGTCCTTCTAGACCCAGAAAATGCCCTCTCAGGCTCCGATGATTCTGCTGGAATGGACAACAGAGTGATGGCCATGGCATAGCCGGGGATAGCGCGACTTTTGCTCGCTACGAGACCACCAGTCGAGGGGACTGCAGTCTATCCGGAAAGTTGGCTGCTCAATGAAGGCGCCGAAGTCATCATCATCCCTTGTGTCGGCTGTGATGACCTCCATATCTTTCATTAGCAAATCGAGCTCAGCCCCACGCTGTCGGGAGGTCATTTCCAGTGGAGGCGACAGCGATGGTGTAATAGCGTCTGATTCGACTCGCGTCACGCTGAAGGTCGACTCCCATAGCTCTTTCGCGGCCGCAATAGCGGGTTCCACCCATGAAGTTGGCCAATTCTTCCGAATATACGCGGCTCTGCGGGAAGGATCAAGAAGAAGAGCCGCAGCATAGACAGGCGTCTCGCCAGTCAGATTGTAGTATTTGTTCAACACGAACCAGCCCTTTCAATAGGCCGGACCATCCGGAGATCTCGATGGTCTTCTTGGGAGTAGTGCACCTTGTTTCTCTCGTAATGGGCAAGGAGAGCGTCCATCAGAGATAATGACTGCGATATTGACGACTTCTCCCCTTCTGCATAGAGTGTGGCGGAAGCAAACGGTTGGAGGAACGTGCGGGCCTTGTCAAGGAAATCCCAGTCCTGAGCTTTGAGGCGATTATTGCCTAGAGCTGCTTCATGATCCGTCATGAAAGCCTTGATCTCGGCTTGCTTTGTGATAGCTCTGTCTATGACTAGAAACCAGGAGGACCACCGGGTTCTGTTGTCAATACCAAGCCGAAGACCGACGCTGTCATCCCAAATATCCGCGTGAAGAGACGAACTGCGAAGCCAGACGGCTAGTTCGTGGAGCTTGCGGAGGGGGGTCAAGCCCTGGATGCCAGAGAACTCATTGTTGCCAGATTCAAGGCTGTCCCGGCCATCTGGGCAGTAAGCATGCTCGTGGCCAGACTTGCTCCTATACCGCTCTTTTGATAGCGTACAATCTGTTCGCTGTTCTGCTTCTGGGACTCGAGAATATCTGAAAAGCGCACTATCAGTTCTTCTCCGGAGACATCAGCTGCAGATTCCAAGGCGGCAAGAAGAGCTTCCCGTGATGACGCTAGCAAGAATGCCTGGAGCGAGAGGTGGATAATATGGCCTATACATCTGATACGACGTTGTCTGGCGTTGAACTGGATCTGGTGCTCAGTCAATAAGCGAGACTGCATCACCTCCAAGCAGGTGTTGTTCGAGGTCGCATTGTCGCTGGTGTGCCATCCCAGGTTCGACTGAATGTCGAATTCTTCAATGACCTGAAGAATTAGGCTGGCCTGCTGCTCACCACTATGGGAATAGCGGCATTCCGGTAATCCTAGCAGGGCCTTTTGCAGCCGACCCTCTGCATCCATCCACTGTGCGCATACAGCCAGCAGTGAGTGTCGATGCGGCGATGTCCACAAATCCGATGATATGTGGATAGGGCTGGCACTAATAGCAAGACCTTCCTTTATCTGTCCTTTGTATAGCTCGTAATTAGATGCAATAAGCCGGACGGCGGTTCGGCGAGACGTACAGTGTACGAATTGGCCTGGGCACCTGGAGCCAATCCGATTAGAGACCAGCCGTGTGCCATCATGATTGAGTTTGACAAATGCAGGGGTGCAGAAGAAAGGAACACGTGGTCACGTGACTACATCAAGAGTGATCGATGGATCACTCATCGATAGTGCAGTGCAATATGATTAGTTATTAGATACGGTTTTGACGTGCGGATCTAAAGCAATATAACATCGAGGGTATTCAGCGCGCTCCACATTAATAACTTACTCTCGTGGCCTGATTTAGGCTCGGCTGACCCGGTGAACACGTCACGCTTTGATAACCGCATGGTGGAAAGCGCAATATACCCTCGACGTAGCGAGGTAAGGTACTAGATAAACTATAATTTTATAGCTGAGTGGTGTTGCCTACTATTGATTGTGGTCGATGCCGAAAAGCTTCGCACTTTTTGAGATATCGACATGGGACTTGTTAAAGCGGTCAGCCCTCTTAGTTTCTATCGTAAGTAAGGCACTATATGTCGCAGGTGTTACACACGCCCTAATGCGGTCGTGTGGCACGTGCGTACTGACAATTTGTGACTCGCCTTGTAAAGCTTAGACTAGATAGTAAATGTATACTATTTGGTTAAGGGGTGGTCAACTTAT